AATCTGCTGTTTGAAACGTGCATGAACTACACAATGTCAGGAGTCAACTTTATTTTTTTTAAGCACTCTTGAACTAAGCAGAATGAAAGACTTGAGAAATAAAGTCTACAGATAGGAACCGATTCCTTTAACACCAAAAACAGCCAAGATCAAAAACAAGCAATATATATTTGTGTATTTTCTTAAGAAGCGCATATACAAGGAAAAGTATAAATAACTTCTTTAAAATGATCCCTTGCAATGGCATAATTCAGAGGTAATAGATATCAAATAAAATGTCAAGAAACACTGCTTAGAAATACAGTTAATTCCTCAGACGGAGGAACTAAAGTGAGTGCAGTGCTTCTCAACAACAATTCAGACAGCCCTTTTCCAGTAGGACTTGCCTCATGAATGCCTGATCCTACAAACCTGTGCAGTCAAACACAGCATTTGCTGATCAACAGTCCTATTGACTTCACTACCTTGGCCCTCAAGTCAAATAATTTTGATGGCATTATTCGTGCCCTGAGAATAGGAAAGGAAGACTCTTGTTTAAAGGACAACTCAGAGCTGTGAACAGTAGTCAAGAGAAACCCAAAGAAGCGCAAGAAAGGACAGAAGGCAAAGGAAAATACACTTAAATGCTTATCCTTCAGTCTGCAAGTTTTGACTTTTTCAATCAACAAGAAAAACATGAATTCCACTGGAATAATCCCATAGTAATTTCAATGTAATTCCATCACTGACTCCAAAACCCGAAAGTTCAAAGCTTATGTCTAGTTCTCCTGAATGAAGTCATCGTGAGAAACTCTTCCAGCCCTCAAACCAGAATTAAAAAAAAAAGGTGAAAACCTGCTTGGAAAGCCTACTTGAGCCATGCTTAACAAGGAACATCTGCAGCCATCCCATTCTCGTGGCACATGGATGCCCCATCAGAGCCATACTAAGTTAAACACACAGGAAAAAATACTTTTGATTGCTGATCAAACCATTTGCAGGTGCCTTTTATTTGAAGCTAGGGATGCTGAGCAGCACTCTGTTTGCTGACATAACACTGTATCGTAAAGGACTTCTTTGTAAAGAAAGTTCACAGAAAGCTGTTTTAACTGACAAAGTCTTTACCGGTGATATTTGACATCTGTTTTTAAAGAACCTACAGATTTAGGATATTATAGCTCAGCTGCTTCTATTTATAACATTTGATTTAAAAGTTTCTCTCAAGTCAACTAAGCAGGTATGCAATTAAGTACTCTGAAATCTCCCTGGCAGACACTAACCAGTGCACATCAATCAGGTCAACTTCTACTTACTTCACTTTGTATGAATTTCTTCATAGCAGATTTTCCCTGTGCACACACACACCCCACATCTTACATTTATAGAAAACATCCCTTCAGATAGAATATGCTGACTACATATCTGTTGGCACTTTTAGATATATATACACACACACACACGTACAAACAAAAGAAAGAACAAAAAAAAAAAAATCAAGAGTCCTAATAAGGAGACATGGAAGATGTTCTTAGCATTAATACTATGCAAGTCCAGAAGGGTGTTCTGAGAAAAAGCTCAGAGGCTCTGAAATATTTGCAATAACTTTCTTTTGGCTTGGGCCATTTTCATTTTTGTGCAACAAGCTAGGGGCACAGTGCAGTCCTCTCTCAGGTAAGGGCAAAAGCTAGTGTGTTATCAGAAAGAAAGGTAAAGACTGTATTACCTAAAAAAGAAAGAGGAGAAAAGAGCTCTTTCCAGTCTTTACAATAGAGCCACTGATACACTACTGCAAATGTGCAAGCCAGTTATTTCAAACAAAGCACACTGTGACAGCGGGGCTTTTAGTATTTTATTTCACATTGAGTATTTTATAAGCTTACACAACTTCATTAAAAATTTATAGAATATGGCGATGAGGAAATGTCTGCTTTACTGTAAATAAAGCCCTTAAAGGAGAAATATTTTCAGCCCTAAAAACAAGGGCAACAAAAACACTCAAATGTTAAAAAAAAAATACAGTAACAGTAATGCAATCTTTTTTATTTATATATTATATATATATATATATATATATAAAAAATGAAAGATAAATATTTCACTAGCTCTACCCAATCACGGACATAGTGGTAATGGCAGAGAGCATCACTGTCATCTATGAAGAAAATTAACAGATGGACTGCTTCACTGACGAATACAGGTAACATTAAATCTATCAACCTTACTCAAAGAATAATTATATCACCATGTGATCATAAAGAAGGGATCCATTACCTGATATGTAACTTATCAGAGATTAATATTAATATCAATATCAGATTAATATCAATATTAGAGGTTAATAACAATGATAAAGTTGACTGGTAGAATTCCAGTGAACCATCAAGTCTTCAGAGGTGGGTATAACAAACTATATACTTTTCATTCTACACACATGGTACCTTATGCAGTACATAAGTAACCAACACAGCAAAGCCTAGACATCCTAAAAGCACATAGGGAAAAGTACTGAAAGAAAACTACTACTAATGGCATTAATGTCAGCTGGCTCAGTCCATTTAAATCAAAGTGTGCTCTTGAAAATACAAGACTTGAAAGAGATCATCAAATTCAGTGAATTACTAATACATCTTTAGTTGGAAAGCAGTCAACTCAGACTCATTCGTGACATAAATGCTGTGTAATAAAACATGAAAGTGTAAGATTGTTTCCAATATACTAGGTGTTTCATAGCATAGACTGGTGTGCCTATCACCTTGTTTTAAAAGAAGCAGGCCAAACTAAAAAGATTTTTTTTTCTAGTGACATTTATAGCACCAGCAAGTTCCTTTAAAAAAAAAAAAAAAAAAAAAGAGAGAGAGAATCAGGTTATATCAAGATAACGACTTGAATCCTTTTCCAAATTACCTAAAAGTCTCAGCTTGCTTTACGTATATCATGGACAGACAAAATTATAGGTAAGGTATACAAGCCGACTAGCAAGCGACTTTTCTAAATATGGATGTCAATATTAGCTCTGTGATTCTTGGCTAAAGCACAGAAGAGGTAACTTTTTTCTGATACCTGCATGTCTTGTAAATTTATGGATTAAAACTTTTATACATTTCTAGAAATCTGTTTCTTCACAGTTAGGTGTCAAAATACAAATTCATGTGAAAAATTAAAGGTAGACCCTCCTAGCTAAACAACTGGATTACTCCTATCAGGAGCCGAATAGGGCTTAGCTTTGAACCTAACATCCAGCAGTGGACATTTGTGTGTAGTGCGTGTTACTATAAAAACGTACAGGACAATCTTTCTAATCTGCAAATAGAATATACTATGATGCTTTTATGAGATACATCCTTTTCATTTTTTTTCAGCTGCAACAGAAGATAAGCTTTCAGCACTTCTACTCCACTGGTCTAAGAATTTCAATAGGACATGGTGAAAGTAAACTCCAAACATTTAGATTCCAAAATTTAAGCAACACTAAATACATAGTTTAATATTCTACGTTAAATACACCAGCACGTATGCTGCTTCTTGTTGTTTCCTGTGATGAAAACCAAGAGCTTTACACCAAGCAATAATTACTTTCAATCTACTTCTATGGTTGTCTTTCCCAGCAACCTAGGCCTCTCGGTCACCAACCTGAGACACTTGATAACTGGAAATATATTATGTTTATACAACTGGGTCTTCACTGCTTGTCTGCCATCTGCATGAGGGAAAGATGGGCAGCCGAATCCGAAACAGTCTACTACTGCCACCACTTTGGAAACTACATTGATCTCTTTCAATATGCATCTTAAGTTCACTTTTTTTTTTGTTGTTACATACTTTGTCATTAAATACCTGACCCACAACCATGCCACAGAGAGGACCTTTCTTAAAAAGTTTTCAGGGGTTAACAATCCCCTTTCTTCTTCACTCATCTCCTGTTAAGTTTAGCTCTCCAAAAGGGATATATCTGGGAGTTCCCACAATCTCTTCTTGCCACAAAGAATCCTTGAGTAAAAAGGTATAGATACTGGCCTGAGAGTTGATGGGGGGAGTTGTTGGAAGGACAGTGGATGGGACTAGGAAAGCAGCAGCAACCAGGAGGTGGTGCTCAAAAATGAAGGCCAAACTTAGGGAAAAAGAAAAAAAACATCCTCCAGAAGTCAAGGGAAGTATTCTCCAGATGTTGATAGCTGTGTCAGTTTATATCCAACTCAATCTACAACTTGAGTTTCACTTAAATTTCTTCAGCGATAGTGCAAGAAGGGAGGTCTCGGTAAACTGTGGCACAATAGAGAATACATGCATAAATAAAAACATCAAGTAAGCCAGAAAGCAGAGCATTCCCAAACTGTCAGCAATTGGCAGGGAAAGTTGTTCTTTCTTCTGGCTTAAAAAGAAGGGCAAGTTCACTGTAGTGAGGTCTAGCCTCCTTAATCAGCTAGCAAGGAGGCAGTGCCAACAATATGCTAACACAGCAGGCACACGTTGCCTTGCTTAGCCAGGGTAACTTGAGCAAGTGGAACGGAGCCACTGGGATCTATTCCCATCCTTCCAAACAGACAGAGAGGCTTGACAGCCAGAAGAAATAAAGTAAAATAAAAAGAGACAGAAGAGAGCGAGGTGAGTAGGGGTTTCCTCCTTTACAGCTCTATGGTGATAAGAGCTGATGGAGTTAGACTAAGCACATTGTCCTGAGTTCGTATCGTTGCCTCCCACTGAATCCACAGCGCTACCGTCATGCTGGAGCTTCTGCAAAGGAGGACTATGGTGAAGAGGCACAAGTCCAGCCAAACAGCCTAAGCCCAAGCGGAGCACGGCTTTCAAACGCAACAGCATCTCTCAGCTGTGTCAGACACAGGTTGAACAATTTACTAGATACACCATGAAAAGAGCTGTTAAGACCAGTGTTTTGCATTCAGGGCATGCAAAATAAATGTTTTATTCACAAACATGCATTACTCCATGTTCTTTTCATTAGAGAGAACAGTTTATTTTCCAGAGTGGCAGGAAAATAAATAAAAAAATAAAAAGGCCCATACCTGACCATAATCTGTCCTGAATACAACAACTCCTTCAGCACAGGAATGAACAGTACTTGGGTAATGCCGATCATTTTCTCGCAACCAGACCCGAGACCCCTACAATAAACACACACACAGAAATAAGTTACAAATGGCAGAATGAAAAGTTGATCAAAAAAATCCAATCATTTTTTTTCCTTGAGAAATATTTATCAGACATAAAAGGTGAAAGAAAGGCAAAATCCAAGTAAAAAAGTGAGAGAAAGAATAAAGTATTCGTTGGCTTCTGCTGAGAGAGCTTCCCCTCACCCCTTTCGACAAGCTCCTAAACGCCAGCAAGAACAGCTCGAGCCATTTCACTCGGTCACGTGCCTCATGTTAGTACATGTGAAATTACAAAGTAGTGCCTGAGTTGACAAACAGTCTGAAAGATCTTCCTCAAAGCTGTCAGGCTCGCTACCTGTTTATTTTCAACTTGTGCTTCCATCAGTGCACTTCTACCCAGTCATCTGCAGCATCTCCAGCTCACGTTTTTTCTAAATGACTTTGACCTTTATGGTGTCCTCTCCTCTCAAGGCTGCTCAGGATAACAACAACAAAAACAAAACAACACAAAATAAAAAAGAATGGCAGGAAAAGGGATAGAAATAATAATGTTTACAGTTCAGGAGGTAACTGAAATACATGTAGCCACCTATGCCTGCCTATGAAGGCAGGGAAGGCCCAGATGATTTTCATTTCCCCCAGGCTACTCATACCTCTTCAAGGTAGATCCAGCAGCCAGAAAGTACAAATGCCCAGTGCTGAGAATAAGTAGGGAGGTGGATGTGGGAGGGAGCTTCCTCTGGGAGATATCCAGAGCTGAGAGCGTGGCCACAATTGCAGTGAGACTGCCCAAGAAAGCAGCATCAAAAGCATCACCTTAATGCTCACAGAAGTCCCTCCAGTGCAGAAGTTGCCATCAGCTGCCATGAAGATACTCAGCAGCAACACCCCAATGGTCCGAGTTGCTACTCAAACTGCACTCTTATTCCCCAAAGAATGCTCAGCGGTCTCCACATCAGAATAGCAGTGTTTTACAGGTATTTACATTATAGACAAATTCTCTCCAGAGTTAAAGGGGTGATAACAGAGACTTTGGAAATACCAGTGAATTGGGGTAAGTCACTTAAGACTCAATTTGCGTAAGTAATTTTACATCCCAGCATCCAAACACTGCCCTTGCATTAATTTCTACATATAGAAACTAGATTTTCAACCTTCCTAAAAGTTGAAAGAAGTGGGTTCCTAATGGACAATCAGAATCACTCCATCACAGGGTTCACTATGTCAACAAGAGGATATTCTTATTCACATTATTCTTATTTCTATGGTGGGAAACTAGCAGCATAGAGAAGGAAACTAACGGTATCACAGAGAAGACACTTTCACCATTGCATTTCTCTGAATGGCCACAGTTCAACTGCATATAGAGGATCACATAAGGGCATCCTCCACCATTTCCCCTGTCCACCTTCTGGCAAAGCGCACTGCATTTTAAATGCTGTAGGTGCCTACGGAGCTGTACTCCATTTTGCCTTTGAAACTTCAGGCCGGGTGGCTTCCAGGTTTATAGGAAAGGGATGGCAGTTCAGACACAGGATACAGAGACTTAGAGCACTGGGTCGGTGCAGAACAGGAAAGAGCACATGGTGCTGAGCAGGGCAGAGGGGAGCAGCAAGCTAGCAATCAAGGCAGACAAGAAGGGGCAGGAGGACTGAAAACACAGCACGCAGAGGGCTCCAGAAAAACACGCAAAAGGATTTTAAAAACCCTTAACCGGTGATAACAGCGAAAGGATTTCCACCAAGAGTATCAGATCTGAGTCTGGCAGTCCAAACACCCTGATGCCCAGGATACCTGTTTTGTTTTTAACATTTTCAGGCGGTACTGGTACTCTCACAGTGACTCATTCCAGGGCGCTTTTCGCTGTGTTTTCAAGAGGGAGAAAGGCTGAAGTGAAACCAGACATGCTCCAACAGATACAGAAGTTCTCATCCACGCAGTGTTTCAGAGCTACCAGATGTTTGCCTCCACAGCAAGCCATTTATCTTAGATTTTCCCCAGCACGTTTCAGTTAAAGCCAATGAACGAAACAAAACAAAAAAAAAAAAAAAAAACCCAAAAACAAACAAACAAAAAAAAACACACAAGCTTTCCCTCCTCTGAGCGATGACAACTGTAAGGATGCCAGCCTCGGTGCTGAGCAGCATTCACCACCACTACAAGTGCGGAGACAAGGGCTTTTTCATGTTAGCTACTGAGCGGCACAGCTGTCGCCAGCAGTGAGCAGGGCCGGAAAAGCTGCTCCTCCTCCATCCCCCTCAGGCCTGCAGGCCCCCACATGCCCTCCTGCACCAGCATTCGTCCCGCCGGCCACCAATGCAGTGCGGGAGGTGACACGTGCAGCTGTCTAGGGAGCCCAGCCACCACCGTGCCAGACGATGTTGCCATCTCTGTCATGCACGTGAGCTCACTCGAGTCTGCCGGGGTTGGAAGAGGATGGGGAGAAGGGTGAAAAACCCACTGCTCCTCCCCACACAGCCATGCTCCCCAACAGGGAACATAGCAGATGCCTCCTTACTGCTACTGCCCAAACTGTCTCCTGCAGCAAAACTCACTCCCGAAGCCTTTGAGAAACTTTGAGAAACTTCAACTTTGAGAAACTCCTTTACAAAGAGCAACTTGCCATGAAAAAACATGCCTGCCAAAATGCTACACATGCAAGTGGTGCAAAATAAACCACATAAGTGTGCACGCTGTGCAAGAGAGATCACTTATCTACCACTTCTGGTAGATAGCACTTTTGGTAGATGGCACTTTTGACCATGTAAAATACTCAGAGCAGTTAGAACAAAGCCGTTTCCTTATTCTTTTGTATCCTTTGCCATATTATTAAGCCTCTACAAACACTTGTAGAGGCATTATGAGACATAATACTCCTAAATTAGCATAAGAAACTTAACCAAAAAAAAAAAGAATATTGAGCACTGAGCCTAGGAAACAACCCCATTCAATCTGACAATCATTGTTTGAATATTTTGCTATTAATGGAGCTATTCTGGCATGAAGCTGAAGTAACACAACATTGTTCAGATTACAGCAAACTTCAACTAACTGTTCCCACAGGAGCGAGGCGTAACAAAGCTCCCCTTGCCCAGCTTTTCCTCCCTGCTCCCTAAATAACTGGTTTTGTTCGCAGAGCACAACAGCTTTAATGAAAGTGATTGACGTTGCCAAGTTCTGGAAACCTGACAACTAAATAAATACGTGCTTCCACCCCTTTACAGTCAGCACAAGCACAGAGGAGAATTTGGTCCCGAATTTCCTACTTCCTGGAGACACGCGTTAGCCAGTCTATTGCTGGGCAAGAATCATCTGTACTACTCAGTCCCCACATTGTCCTTTAAGGATTTGATCCATCTAAATACATGAAATAAGTACCAAAAAAAACTATTTGCCAACATGAGAAGTTTACTTAGAGTGCTTCAGCATAACCGAACTCCTGTCGCTCAGCTAGCTTGTGATTTGCCAAAATCTCCTGCCTCAAGTGACAAGAAGTTTATGCTTTCAAGGGCAATGAGAAAGCTTATAAACATTAAGCCACAACAATATTTGCCAAAACCTCAGCATTCAAAATAGCTTCTAATAAGAAGAATGTTTTCCATTTTGAAAATTAAATAATTCATTTGACTCTTTCTGACAACGAAGGGAAAAAAAAAGAAAATAGCCTGCACAGAAGCATTCACTTGGTTGGGGTAGTCCTAAAATAAGCTTTTAAAAGTGCATATGAAATGCCTTGATTTAAACAAACGTACATTGTTAGGGGTCAATAGCTACTATTCAGAGAATTGCTGGAGCAATGCAGTTCACAGAGCCGGAGGCATTTGAAATGCAAATACACAGTGTTCTCTGGCAAGGTACTTCCACAGTACAGTATCTCTCCACTGTAAGACCTTCCACAAGGGGCAAAGGGGAGAGTCTTCCTATGGGATGCAAGGCAGGCTCCACAAGTAAAAACTGTGCTGTGTGTCTATCTAACCATGCCAATATTCTGCTATCTCTCAGCCATATAGGTTATCCACAAGTCAGTTTTGAGAACAAAATCCTCACTAATAATTAGTTTATGGAGATTTAAGATACATACTTAGATCAAGTCTCTGGATCTACAAAGGGCACAAGTGAGATGACTTCGAGGGTAGGTTTATTTTGTAGTTCTCCAGCAAGTACAAGGAATTGTGTTTTGAAACTGCCTACCATCTCTGGCAGTTCATTTTAGAAGGATGTTAACACCTCTAAAGAGGGTCTGTATTTTTAGTTATGCTCCACTAATGAAAATTAAGTTATAAAACGCAAAAGTTCATTGACCCACTAAGGAAAGTTAAGTTATAAAATGCAAAAGTTCATTTATATAAGATTGTGAGGTGTCCTTTTTGAGTACACAGAGCCTTCAAGTTGCCTGGAACAGGTAAAGGTGACATTTAGTTAAGTCAAGCTAGCTAAACCCTGGCTAGTTGAACTAAACCTGCATTTATCACAAGGGGAACTACAAGAAGAAAGCAGATTTCTAGACAAAACCATGACTTTGCAAATTTGATGTTAATGAATACTTTTACTTCTTTAAAAACTGACTTCCTTACAACTGAAGACTATCTAGTGTAGGTCCCAACCTTCTGGTAAGGTGCAAGCCATGCTAGACCAGCTTGCCAGTCTGTGGTCAGCTTCTGTGAAGCTCACCAGAAGCCAGATTTCATTTTTCAAAGTCAGACTTGTTCTTCCATCCATAAGCCCAAAGGAGAGAGGGGGAAGCAAAGAGGGAGAGAAAAAAAAAAAGTAATAGGAGACACATGGCCCTTGCATTATGTTGTAATTCACAGTGTTTTGCCGGATCTAGATCCCCTTGATAGCGATACTGATTTTTCCCCCACTTAGGTTTCCTGTGCTTATCATGAAGACATTTCCACACAAGATGGATTTCAACAGTGACTGAAATACTAAGTACAAAAGCCTATGTACACAACCACTGTACTACCAAGGAAAGGGAAATAAGTCAGTATTCCAGAGATCACTAAGATAAT